CTTCGCGAACTTCCACTACTTCGCATACATCCACTACTTCGCCAGCATCTACTACTTCGCAAATGTTGACCACTTTCACTAAAGTAATGTCTACGACGAGCTCATCTACGAAGACCATTTCATCATTCACCAAAACTACATTGTCTATCATAAGCTCGTCTGTTAATGAGACGTTAGCACCCGGCTATACGATGAAATACAGCTACCTAGGCTGCTACGTTGCTAATCCTGACAACAATTTCGGTCTCGGGAACTGGGCCGCGCAGCAGATCCTCACGACATCGATCGATGCTTGTGCATCCCTCTGTGGTAGCCAATCTACTTACGGGTCCCTTTACTTTACACTCGGGACAACATCAAGCGGCTCATCAATCTGTACCTGCGGTGATGACATCACCGCGCACAGCTATCTCTCGGCCGGATTGAATTTCAAGTGCAATATCCCCTGCCATGTCAAGCAACCTTCGAGTTATTTCTGCGGTGGACAGTATGGCTCAGATCCACTCGTTTCTGTTTTCGGCGCAATATAGAGATACCCGGATCCACACGCTAAATCGGCCCCCAATCAGCTAGCTGGACCACTGATGCCTGGCTGTGTCCACGGTAAGGGTTAGGGTTATATATGGTAATAGTAAACAGAGCTCAGGGGCCACGGCACGTAGAGAAAACGCAGTGCAAATGGAAAGTGGTCGTTTTTGAGCGTTTTAAGTGCTTTAAAAATATGGTAAAAAATCTAATATTAATATAAGACCGTATTTTCGGCCTAGGAAGCTCTATTGTGCTCGTTGGGCCACACCTTACACGTCGAGTGAGGCAAAAAGGTGCCTGGCCAACGGGCGTTAGAGTGCATTTTAAGGCGTTGGCACCAGGGGGGACTCGAACCCACAGCCGCCAGTCTTGAGGAGGGATCCCCAGGCCGGTGCGCTACCAATTGCGCCACTGGACCGTTGTTGGAGGAAAGGACGCCGGCAAGACTTATCTAAGGGGGCAGGAGGGCCTCGTATAGTGTCCCTAGAGCCATAGGGCCTCGGCACAGCGTCACGAGACTGTCGTATATTTAAAAGGAAGTCACGACTACGAATTGTGGGAATAGCTTCACATATGGAGGAAGGAGCTCCCCTGACGACGACCACCCCAGTCTGGCTGGCTGGCCAGCCAGCCAGACCAGAGTCAGCTTAGTCAGACGAAAAAATACAGTGCAAACGGCAAGTGGTTGTTTTTGAGCGATTTGAGCGATTTGAGAGGTAAAAAAACAGTAAAAGATCTAATCTAAATATAAAACCACACTTTCGGCCATGGAAGCTCCGTTGAGCTCCTCCGGCCCGGTCCCCGGCCCCCCTACCTTACCCCGGGGCTGCCGGGCCGGCCGTCCCCCTTCCCAGTCCCCCCCCCCCCCCCCCCCCCCCCCCCCCCCCCCCCCCCCCCCCTGGGTCATCCTTGCACGCCGGAGATCCTTACAGAAGCGGTTCAGGGTGGCCAGGGTCCGGCGCTGGTCGAGATCGAGGACCTGTACGGCCGTGGGCATAGGGATCCGGCGCGTGGCGGCTAGTCGACCAGCCTCCAGTATAACTTCCCGCCGTAAGGAGTACCACTGGACCTCCCTGGACCGGCCGGTGCGCCACCGGGGACCCCAGCGTCGGTCTAACGCCGAGATCGACGGCCGCCCCGGTCCCCCTTTAGTCCACTCCTCCCAGAGGGCGGCCACGGTCTTCACCGTACGGTTCATAGTATGTTGAGGAGGCTCTCCGCCGGTCTCGTCGTCGCCGGGGCCGTGGTCACTCCAGGTGGCTGACCAGATGGCCGCTGGGTCTCCTCCCGATATCAGTAGGGGGTCATCTAACCGTATGGCGACTACTGGGTCCCCGGCCGGCGACAGCCTCCTCAGTCCCTGCCAAGGTCAACCGGACCTGGCCATCGGCGAAGAGCTTTTGTATAGAGGACTGGGCCGATTCGGCGACCCGGTCTTCCCATCCACGAAGCTCCCGGGCCAGGGTGGTCACCGCGGCAGTTGTCTCGGCGTGCCGGGCGTCGTGGCGTGCCTCAGAAGACTCTGCCATCCTTATAAGGCTATTCCCTGAGTCCCCAGTATGGGACCATCCTGTATTCCATGATCCATTATATAAGCGCTTCGCTGAGGAGGTCGCCATGTGTGTGCAGGCCGAGGAGCTTTGATACCGATAGCGTTGTTACGAGGTGGAGGGCTGCACATCCAGAGCTGGCCGGTACTGACCAAGACTGCGTGGTTGTTATGATAGATGAGCTTCAAAGAATCCTGGGAGCCTCCACAAATGTGTCGAAGGATACAACTATCAAAATAGGCTCAGATACCGTCCTACTAATGATCAAAAGGTCGACATAGTCTCTTTACATAGTTGCTACTAGGCCCTCTAAGATTGCATGATGAAGTTTTAAAGAGAAAAACTTGTCTGCGCTGAGTATTGGAGTACATAGATAGCTCACTAGATAGGTTGGAACTGTCCTGGACAGAGGCTTGGATGGCATGGTTACATACGAGTCAAGGATGTGGCAAAGGACAAGCCCCAAGGCATAACTAGAGCCGGCATTTGATTCTTAGCGCAAGGCGAAGTCCTTCTACGTTGTAAGCTTTATGTGGCGAACCGTGCCAAACATCGGCGCTGAAATCGGACTTAGCGTACAGCTAACGCCCCTGAGACTAAAATCGGGGCTAGTGTAGGTCTGTGGGGGGGACCTGCGGCAGTAAGAGCCTATAAGAACTCGAGCAAACCGTGGCTCTTTGGCGCGAGATCCTACCATAGTACTATGGTACTTCCCAAATGGTGGCCTCGAGGCCAGGGGTCGGATCCTCGCCGGCGCAACATGAGGCGGGCAGGGTTAGTGCAGTTGGTGAGGGGGGGAAGCTGTGGCCCTCCCTAGGTGTCTGGAAGTGCTATAGCTGCGTTAGCCGCGAGGAGGCCTTCATTAACACGAGATTGCTACATCCGGCTCCGATTGTTATACCTTGTTTAGCAAACTTCATACATCCGTAGCGCCGATCATAGCGCTAGGTGCGAGAAAAAGAGCGGCAATAAACACCCTTTTCCACGTCGATGCTAAGCCGGCTCGGAGATGCGGAATGTATTCCGCTCTATAGGAAATATGTGCTAACAATAGTGTCTTCTACGTCCGGGTTGAGTCGAATTTGGCACAGGGGAATGCGGCCAGCTTCCCGAGACGCAAAAGTAGAACCACTTGCCAACTACATTCCTACATATTGAGAACGGGGAGCAGGAAGCAGAGCACGTGCGGAACAACCCACACACAACACCACTACAGCCCGGTATTGACAAACATCGATCGAATCTTTTTCCACATAGACAGCCGGCTCTCGTTCGAGAGTTGGTGCTTCAACCTAGTTGTTGAGCTTTAAATGAATGCAGATAGTTACTTAGGCTCCTAGCATATCTTAATGGCTAACATGCGTTCTAAGACCAGGAAAGATGCCACGAACTGGGCTTCAAGCAGGCCCTAGCCTCTCGATTGAACTAGCTTCCTGGCATATTTACGAGCCCAGGGACGTAGTGATCGGCAGCATTGTTTGTACAGAGCACTTGGTCGTCCCAGACGCGCGTCTGACCGTCCGACCTTGTGGACGATCTAAGTCGAAGATGGTTATCAAGCGTCAACATGGCTTAAGCATCTACCGCGGCCGCTTCAATTTTCTCAGCCAGGAGGATGCAACTTGCGCGGTATTCCAAGGACCGATTCACGTACCCCCATAAGGCAAGGCTCACTCCTGGCCTTTTGCTATCCTGGTTCCAACGAAGGCAAATGCGGCTGTAGTGGCACACGATAACAACGAAAAGTATAGCTATCTGTCACTGTAAAAGGACAATATTGATGCACAGCCGCTACCAGCTATTTTTTGTTATAAGGGAAGTAATTTCTGGTCTAGCACTACGTTCTTCGGTTATATAGAGTATTATCTAGACGCTGAGCTCGTTGCAACCTCAAATGGGAAAACAACTACTACGATTGCAATGCCTCCATTATTTATCAACACGCTGTCAACACTAAAACCGCTACTGGCGAAGGATTTCCCGTTCTAAACTAAGACTAGTATATTCTCCGTGCATTCCTACTGCCTGATCTATGATACGCAAAGGGTAGGACTTGTCCTTCAAGCAGAAAGCGAGAGCAGCCTTTGGGTTGCCCAAAGTACTAGAACTCTGGTTTACAGTTGATATCACCTGCCCCTAGAAAGTCCAGCTAGGAACACCAGTGCCATTTCTAGTCTGCGTCCTGCCAGACCTTGAGGCGTCAACCAAGATTCTGGAAAGCATGCCATTCACGTTTATGCTGAAATCTTTCCACTTTAAGTTGCAGGCCACTACTACTGTGCTCTGCCGCGGCACCTTCTCAAGCTACAACCAGAGCCGCACGGAAGACTACAATTTTGAACTTGACCCTGTGTTTCGCAAGCTTTCCCAACCGGTGATACTCCCTTCTGCGCCTGGGTCTGAGCATATGGATGTAGGGACATTCCTTCAGATAGTGCTAGACGAGACGAGCGTGAGTGCCTTGGGGCTACAAATATCGGCCGAATTTAAAAAAGGGTATATCCAAACTTAAAGACATATAATATTCAGCATACCTATCGGCTGAGATGGGAGCTGGGCATACAGGGCTCAGGCATGGACAAATGGGAAACGATGGCTGGGGAGACGGAGGTCGAGGTGATTGCGCCCAGCCAGATGTAGATAGGGGAGAAGGTGAAGGATCTAGAAGGGATGGAGATGAAATTGAAATATAAAGAATGGCTGAAGGGAGCGGAAATCGCGATAGAGGGTATAGTACAAAGAGATTGCTACTGAAAGGAAGTGCTGCTAGTACCCTCCAGTGGATATACTTCTTCTTCCTAAAAGTATCTCCAAGCCACCGAAGTGATTTGAACATGTTTCCTCGCTTTAGCGAACCACAACTGTTTATAGTAGAATTATGTGTCAGGCTGCCGAGCAAAGGCGACGAGGCTACAAGGCGACGAGGGTGGGGCTGACCGGACCACAAGTCTTGAGCCATCCACATGGATTCACCTTCGGCATCACACTATTGGCACCAAGACAATCTCGAAAGCTCCTTCAGGGATCATTTCCCGGGGTCAGGGTTGCGATTTAGTACTATAGTATTTTAACACTAGTATTAATACTATAGTATACTATAGTACTAGTATAAGGTTATACTATACTAGACTAGTATTAGTATAAAGCTATACTATACTAGTGTGGGGCTAGTATATACTATACTAATACTAAGCTAGTACTAGTATAGTATAATACTATACTAGAGTATACTAGAATACTAGTCCTACAATATATATAGCTTAATTATATAGTATATTGTGTATTAAGCTAATTAGATAAGTATCTAGCTTATTTAAATCGGAATATTTACGGCTAAAATAAGAAATTAAAGCTAAAAATACTATAAATACAAATCTATCCTTTGACGAGCCAAATATAGATAATATAGATATTTACAGCATTTCGGATAAAGAATCTAGCTTAGAGGATGAGCTATATATACAGCCTGAAAGTGTTGAGGAGAAATATACGCTATATTTTAAAGAGTATAATAAAGGCCTTAAAACAGAGCTGGGCTCCTGAAGCGATTCCAGACGCAATAACTCGCTTCTTGTCCACGCGCACTAGAAGAGAGCGACTGCATAGCTCCGTATCGAGGTGGCCAGCGTGTAGCCATTCATGTAGGAATCGTACATCGCTGATCGGCCCTTCAAGGATGTTGACTTGAGGGCAGAGGCGGTGGTCTGGAGCGAGGATAATCCAGCCCCTATCTAGAGCGTCCTGAATCTGCACAACAGGGTTCATACGCGGGTGTCCCGTGGCCCATCTGCCACCTAATTCGCCTTAGTCAGAGGTTGAGACACATAAGCGACCACACAATACTTACCATGTATGACATACATCAGCG